GAAGTTAATAAACAATCGCTTTAGATGAGATAGGCGGGGGGGGGGGGGGGGGTTGAGGTAGAGGCACCAAATTGGCAGGGTAGCTGCATGCACACAAAAGCTTATACCCAGAATTAAACTTTGTTGGTCTTAAAGATACTGCTGGACTCAGGCGTTATTCATGTTATCAGTAGGCAAGAGCTCACCAGCTCAGGCACTGACAACAGGACAGACTGTCAGGCTGGACTCCATTCATGACAGCAAGCAAGTTGTTTCCTGCATGATGACAGAGTTACAAGCCAAGAGTTGCACCCCTAAGCAATCCCTATCAGCGTGTCCAGGGGTCATTTCCTGCAGGAGCGCACAGGAGTGGAGCTCCGGCAGTAAGGAGCCCAGGGGGCAGGCACATGCAACAAGCCCTGCCCCCTGATCCCAGCAGCCCTAGTTGGGCCACGAAGAACAAGAAGCAGCCAGGTAAGTTGCAGAGCCCCCCCCCCGTGGGCGTGTACTGTGGGGCTCTGTCAATCTTATCTGTGTGAGACAACTTGAAGTCTGATTGGCTGTCGCGTCTGTCTTAGTCGTACCCTGAGATTCTGAGAGTGACAGTTATTTTGCTACTCACTGTCAGTTGGTGTTTCTGAGAGTTTAACTGTAATAGCTCTATGTTGGTCTGTTTTAAATAATAACTCAAGATATATACAAACTGTTATTTAATTATTCACCAGTAAATAGTTAGATAAACACCATTTAAACTTGACCGTGTTTGGTGTGATTCTTTGAGTCTTCCACAAAACAAAGGAACATTAACAAATATTTTTAACAGCCCCCCCGCCCAATAACTAGCAATCCAAATCAGTCCAGTGGAGCCTGAGCAGTGGGTGCTGCCTTCTGACACACTTCTGGTGATGTCAGGGGGTGTGGCATATGCAAATAAGTTATGCTAATAAGTTATGGTAATGAGCTCCTGCACCTCTTTTTCTACGAAATGACCCCTGAGCGTGTCCAAAATTCCTTACCCTCCCAGCAGAAAGCCTATCATGGGAACTCGAAGAAGATGCCTTCTCTCCATTGGCAGAAGAAAGTGAAGAGGCACTGCATTGTAAAAACAAATAATGTCAGCTGGCACCAGCAACGGCATGGCTAAAACATATTCCTAAAAAAGGGGGGGGGACCATTAGCAGAAATGGCCTGAGTCCCATTTGCATTATAAATATGCTTGGCATTTGCATAGCATTCTCATTTTTCAGAATGTTTCGCTCACATTAACCTGTTTCAGATAGGTGGAAGGAGGATAGAGGACAGACAGAGGACAGTAGACGGATAGACAGACTAACAGACACAGACAGATGACAGACAGACAGATGAGAGATAGATGGATGGATAGATAGACAGAAAATACAGAAAAGGGAAAGTGATTATATATCATAAAGAAAAAACAACTCCCTTCATCACATTAGAAGGTTTTTGGAGCACTGTCTACAAGGTACAATAAAAATTACTCCTAATGGGATACATTTATATTCAACATTTTACATTTCAGATTTCATAACTGATCTGTTTGTCAAGTAATTTAATAGTTTCAACATTGCTGCATACTCATGACTGCTGTATACTTGGCCATTACTGCATAGTCGCTGTTCCTTTTGACAAATAGGTAACAGAACGCAAATGTCATGATCCTGTTATAATGTTGACAACAGCCCTGGAAGGTGGGCCCAGCAGCATTGGGTTCATATAATAGATTGGGGGGGGGGGTTATGAGGCACCAAGAATACAGTGCATCACTTGCCCCAGCCACTGATGGACCCCTGCTCCATATGTTTATCCAATTCCCTCTTGAAGCTGACCATGCTTCTAGCCACCACCACCTCCTGTGGCAGTGAATTCCATGCGTTAATCATTCTTTGGGTGAAGAAGTACTTCCCTTTGTCTGTTCTAACCCGCCTGCTCAGCAATTTCATGGAGTGCCCACGAGTTCTTGTGAGAAAGGGAGAAAAGTACTTCTTTCTCTACCTGCTCTATCCCATGCATAATCTTATAAACCTCGATCACGTCACCCCTCAGTCATCGTTTCTCCAAGTCAGAGAGCCCCAAGCGCTTTAGCCTTCCTTCCATAGGGAAAGTGCTCCAACCCTTTTATCATTCTAGTTGCCCTTTTCTGCACTTTTCCCAATGCTATAATATCCTTTTTGAGGTGTGGTGACCAGAACTGCACACATTTTATTCCTCACCTTTTTCCCCAAGGGGGAGCCAAAGCAGCTTACATCATTTGACTCTCTACCTGCTCTCTAGGCTGAGAGCGTCTGACTAGACCAAGGTTACCCAGCAAGCTTCCATGGAGGAGTGGGGATTCAAACCTGGTTCTCCCAGATCCTAGGCCAAAACTCTTAACCACCACACCACACTGGTTCCGGCCTCACCACAGTATTGACTGATGAGTCTTACGTAGCGGGCTTCGGAGGCAGACCACAGAAACCACATGGACACAAGAAGCGGCTTGATACTGAGTCAGGACATTAGGTCTATCAGGGTCAGTACTGTCAGGCTGGGGTCTTTCACATCACCTACTGCCAGCTTCTTTAACTGGACGCAGGGCTCTTTTTGTAGCAGGTACTCATTTGCATATTAAGCAACACACCCCTAATGTAGCCAATCCTCCAAGAGCTTACAGTAGCTCCTGTAAGACGAGCTCTGTAAGCTCATGGAGAATTGGCTACATTAGGGGGGGGTGGCCTAATATGCAAAGGGGTTCCTGCTACAAAAAAAGCCCTGAACTGGAGACACCAGAAACTGAACCTGGGACCTTCTGCATGCCAAGCAGAAGCTGCACCACTGAGCCACAGCCCCTTCCTAGCTGTCCTATACTGAGCTCGAGCATTGGTCCATCAAGAGCGCTAGTTCCTACTCAGACCGGCAGTGCCTTTCCAGTGTCACAGGCAGAGGTTTTTGGTTGAGGCAGCGGGCGTCCCCCTCCTTGGGTTGGTCCCCACTTATAGCCTGGGCCGGCCCCTCACTTATAGCTTGGGTCGGCCCCTATTTACAGCCTGGGTCGGAGACCCTAAATTTAACAGATCTCTGGGAAATTATCCCAGTATAGCTGGCTTTTATCAGAGTTGTATGCAATGCTCCCTCTAAGCTGTGGAGTCTAGTGAGCAAAAATTCTACTTTGTGAGCTCCTGGCATTAAAGTTGTGAGCCGGTGATTTGGCTGCTGCATCAATGAGTTTGCTCTGGAGCCATCCATCCTGAGCGAAGACAAAAAATATGCGAGCCAGAGGCTAAAAAACGGTGAGCTAGCTCACACTAACTCACCTTAGAAGGAACACTGGTTGTATGTTTTATATGTTTTAATGTGATTTTGAATGTATTGAATTTTATACTGTTGGGCTGTATTTACATTGTTGGAACCCGCCCTGAGCCCATCAAGGGGAGGGCTGGATATAAATCCAAATAAACATAAACATCACCTCCTACCTAAGTCTTTAACTGGAGATGCTGGAGACTGCACCTGGGACCTTCTGCATGCCAAGCAGATGCTCTACTGTGGAACCACAGCCCCTCCACAAGGGCATGGTGGGATAGGACAGCCAGTTTGGTGTAGTGGTTAAGAGCGTGGACTCTAATCTGGAAGAACTGGGTTTGATTCCCCACTCCTGCACATGCAGCTGCTGGTGTGACCTTGGGTCAGTCGTACGTTCTCTCAGAGCTGTTCTCTCAAGAGCAATCCTTGAAAGAGCTCTCTCAGCCCCACCTACCTCACAGGGTGTCTGTTGCAGGGAGGGGGAGGGAAAGGAGATGGTAAGCCACTCTGAGACCCTTTCGGGTGGTGAAGTGCGGGGTACAAATCCAATCTCTCTCTTCACTTCTCTAAAAAAACGAGACAGGATCCACCCACTGAAAATACTCACTCTCTCTTTGACGAATGGCCATCAGTAGGCAGAGATGCCAGAGCCTCGTAGACGGCTGATACTCGCCGCAGAAAATTTTCCTTCTTTCTTTCATATTCCACCACCGACATCTTTGTTTTGGGCTGCGACTTCTCCGCAGCCATTTTCTCACTCAGGGTTTTCAGGACCTGCAAGCTGGTGTTGAGTTCGCCAAGGCCACCACTCTCCGAAAAGATGGCCTAGACAGACACAGGGATACGCAAAGGTCCTTTAACTGAGCACTGCAAGAATTCCCAGTCATGCCGTAAAATTCTTGGTGGAGGCTTCTCAACAAATATGTAAACCAGCTTGCCAGTATTGACATGTTTAAGTATTCCTACTATTAAATACTCCTACACACATCTGTGACCAGACTCTCTCTCTCTCTCTCTCTCTCTCTCTCTCTCTCTCTCTCTCTCTCTCTCTCTCTCTCT